TTCATGAAATAGTTTTATCACAGCCCAGCGCTGTACAATCAATACATTAACTGCGCTGGGGGGGCCGACTCTCTCGCAGGAGATTGTGTTTATGCACCCTGACCCATTCTGCAAAGTGTTGAGCGTTACATTTAAACGGAGGGAATAATCTAAAGCATTTTTAGGAACATGCAACAGATGCATGGGATGGTTGGGCCATGTTTTATAGAGAAGCTTGCTGTTGATATGAATTGCGGTGGTTTTTACTGGTAATCATGGGTGTGCACACGGTGAGCATGCTTTGACATGAATGCATCGTTTACAAAAGATGTGAGGACAGTAAGCACCAAATAATGGGGAGACGCTATAGAGCGCAGTGAGAGAGCGAGTGTGTGAATTTGTGCTGTGCTGATGGGCTTATTATTTTATGGACTGCTGCTCTCTTAGTGCTCCTGTGGATGTGCAAGGCGAATTGAGATTGAATTAAGATAAAAATATAGGGGGACAGTTCCCAGAGAGCCTGCAGGAGACAGAGATGTTGTCTGCTGCTTATTTATTCAACTTTGTGTTGATTACTGGAAGCATTGCTGCCACCGTTCAAATTTCTGTATTTTCATGTGTCGAGGAATGTGCAAAATGTTCTCTCTTTCAACTTCTCCGCTTTTTGAGTATTTCTCATGCAACCCCATTCGCAGACAATTGCAGCCCTTGATGCACTTTAATCTTGTGGTAAAACTCTTACAGCCTTGTGTCACCTTCAGCAACAACAACAGTGATGTCCTCTGACTCAGCGTCCACCTGAAGTGGGGTGAAAAAGGGAATGAAAGGAGGAGGCAAGGCTCCGGGCTCGGGATATTGGGAATAGTGTTTTAGGGAGCCTCGGCTTCAGGGACTGACCAGCAGTCATAATATTTGTGACGAGGTCAGATTGACTTTTTGAAGAAATCAATATGTGATATAGCCTACATGCTGTTGTGAACCTGGGAGGTAATGGGATCTTTGCAACGCTTGGCTAACAGGACTCCATGCCTTTTCTCTTGTTATTCCTCTTTCTATTTTCCCTTTCTCTTTCCTCTGCCTCGCCTTACCCTCTGCTTTGCTTCCTTTGGTGAAAAGAACAGACATAACAATGAATAATGTTAATATTTAATGTCACTGTAATTGGTGGCAATTAAGTGCAATGACTGGATCATTAATTTTCTCGAGGGAGCTGCTGGAAGAGCGGAAGGGAGGGAAAAAAATCTGATTTTTCATTTTTTAAAGCCCACCTGGTCAGACAAGAAACTGTCGACTGGAACCAGTTAAAGCTTACGATCCAACAAACAGCAACAACTTCCTCCATGGCAACCAGACTACAACCAGACTGCAGCTTTGACAAACGGAGGATAGCTACAGGTCTGCATCAATCTAGACAGAAACATGTGATTAGATCTGCTGCAATCTGCTTGCAGCATCTATCTTGCTTATCGACCAATGAGATCTGACAGATGTGGAGGTTTTACACATCTGTCAGATCTCACACATATAAGAGAGGTACTGCTCTGTCCTGTTCATCATCAAAAGTTATAATAATACCTTTAATCAGAGCACCTAAATGTTTTATTTCACATGTTTTAAGCTTAAGCTTCCCAATTTTACTGTCTATTTCTGTGACAATGTTGCATCCAGGTCACTGATTTGCTTTTCTAGTTTTCAGACTGATATCCATCCAATTGTAATTAAGAAAAAAAAAAACTAAAATAAAACTGTCTGAATACTTTTTATTGTAAATGTGAACTGATTTATATCCTTTTTGTCCCAGGATTGAATAAATAAAGAAATAATCAATTCAATATTGAAGAACCAGGCCTATCAAAGTAAAATTAAAAATCAACTACTTCAAAATTTTAAGTCTTGTTTAATACAATAAGATCTTCATATTTTAAATGTGTAATTTTTGCTTGGAATTTCAGACATGTTATCAGTAGTTAATAAAACAAAAACAATCTTAATTTTACTCAAACATATAGCTATAAAGAGTAAAATCAAAAAATCTGCATGTAGTGAATCTAAAATAACCTCAACCAACCAAAACAGATGGATAAAAACAGCAACAATCTTTGCAACAAGTGGGAATGTAAAACTGATTTTATGCTTTATGCATGTGATCTGTTCACGTCTTATGCAGACATTGAAAGTGCTATTCATGTCACTGTCACTCTGAAGGATGCTGGCCTCCTCTGATATCACAGAGACACATTCGACGACCTCGCCTGACCCCAACCAAATGTTCCCGCGACTGTTCGACCTCCTCAGCGAATGTCAGTCAAGAAAGCAGCATGTTAGGCTATAATCACACAAGCCTGACCTGACACATCATGACCCCGCCTCCCGCGCGCCCCACTACTCCGCTCCGCTACGCTTTGGCACAGGTTGCTAAGCAACGGGCTACAGGAGCACCTCTGAGTCCAACATGAGGAAAAGCTCAACACAATGACAGTGACAAACATGGAGGGCCACGGAGGTGACAAGGTGTCCCTCTGCAGAGAACAAAAATCGCCTCTTCCTCCGTCTCTCCTCGTCACACAAGCCGCTTCCGCTCATCCTTCCCATCCATTGTTTCTTCCCGTCTCCGGTCACAACACTCACAGGAATTAAGCTCCGGTGTAGTTTGGGTTTTGAGCTGACAGATGAGAGACAGGATTAATGTTCGAACTTGTCCTTCAGCGCCGCAGTTTCTGTTTACAGCAGTTTGCATGTTCACGGCGAAGCCTCAAGTGACAGTGCAGCACGAAGGAGACTTTTGTCTGCTGTTAACTTAATTAAGTTGTCAGAGGGAAGCCTTGTTGGTTTCATGCTTGTAAAAACAGTGCTAAGTGATTTATTTATTTATTACTTAATTACAAGCACAGTCTGACATGGACTGATGCAATAAAAGAATCTGTTTGCATGAATTTGACTCTGATGTCTTACAAAATAAGAGATAATAAAGGTCGAACCATTTTACTTTACTTTTAATGAAATAATCTATAATTATGAAGATTAAAAAAAACCCTGAAGCACTGACCAATATATTTGATGTGTACTGATGACAAAATGTAATGTAAAATAAATAAAACATTGCTGGTTTCTTAACTGTGACTGAATGATGTTTTTTATGACTTTTTATCTTTGTGTTTTTATGATGTAAAGCACTTTGAATTGCCTTGTGCTAAATAGACGTCATTGATTAATTGATTGAATATACAGATGATCACTTAGTGTATGTTCTGAGTTTATGCTTCAAATGGCTTGAATGTGCTGTAAGAAAACAAACAGTTTTAGTAGAAAGTTGGACATCTATGACAATAAATAATAAATCAATTCAGTGTTTTCTATTTGCTCAAACCTTTAAAACTTAATGTTTTACATTTATCTACCACCAGTTTTCTTCCACTTTCAGTCTCTCTCAAAGCTCAGCTTAGTGTACAGATTGAATATTTGCTTAATAAAAACAATAATAACACAACTGAAAGTTTGTCCTGTGTGTTTGTTCAGTGCAAGCTCTCTGGCCTGACCTCAAACAGCCACTCAATTTAAACCGGCCGGAGACCGAGATGGAAAATGGGGTCAGGTCTAATCAACACCGCTGTCATGATTATGTCCACTCCACTCCAACCTGTAACCAGGCAACAGGCAGGGCTGCCACAAAACCGATGTGACAGCTGCAGGTAGATTGAAAGTGTAAAGGGTGGACAGAAACCCGTGGGTGGGTGTGTGAAGAGGGTAAAGTGGGTGAATGGCCTCATTTTTATTTACTTTTTTTCCCAGCCAGATTTTCCTTATGTCTGTCTGTCGTCACTTACATACAGGTCAGGAAAAGGCTTTTTTATATGCATAATAAACAACATTTCTGAACCCAAGATTACAAAACATACATATGAATGGATAAATAAAGCTAAAACATATATAATTATAAAATCTTCCTCTCCTCCTGTGTTTCAATTTGAATGTATTTGTTTTAATGCATATCTTCTTGTTTGTTTGGTTATTTTACTTTTGTTGCCGTTTCTCATTCTATTATCTGGTTGATTATTTTGTAGATCAATACCCCTTTTCGCTTTTTGTCAGTTTGTCATGTTATTGTATAACACTAATTGGTCAATTTTAAAAAAGTGCATGTTCATATGTGTTTTGCAGATTATAATGACTAAGTAATCTTATGGCCAGGTTCTGTCCAGAAGTCAAAATACAGTTCCTGTACATATTCAAGAATGTCAAATTAATTTAAGGATTTTTAATTTCATTATTTTCTGAGGTTTTGAAGATTTTACAACAAAAAGCACCAGTGATTTTTAAAATCATGAACTGGGTGCTCATGTTTTGATTTATTTGAGAATATTGGCTAATCCATGCTGGCTGAAAGAATTATACATGCAAGTTAATTTTACTTCTTGAAACGTATATTTTTATCGGAACCAGAAGATTTTTAGCTAAATTGCTATTTTAGGTAGTTTAATAACTTGAAACTGAAAAAAAAATAGTAAAAGTTGGCATTCACATGTGTTTGCTGTCTAAATAATTGGGCAGATTATAATGATTAAGTAATTTTATAACCTTTAAAATGACCAAATCTGGAGCTGCTGAATGATTGTGTTTCGTCTCCAGAAAGCTCAACACAATGATACAACAGTACTTTAGAGTTCACCATTCTCACCACTTTCATTGTTGTTTTAATGTTTGGACTAATTTCTCTAACCTGCAGGACAAATTCAACATTCCTCCAAAAAGTTCTCAGGGCATTTCAATTCATTTAAAGATGAAAACTTTACAAGTTATCTGGGAGTAACAACAGCATAAAAGCCATATTAAAGCCAAGCTTTAAAGGTCCTTCACATTTTATCAGAATTTGAATGAGCCAATTTCTTATGGAGAGCCAGAAAATCAGTTATTAAAAGCATGACATCCGTATAATTCTGTATCCCCACGTATAAAATCTCCAGTAGATCCTTCTTGTAACAATCTGGAAGGTAAAAGCTACTAAACATGGAGTTCATTCCTACCATGGCCTTCTGCGGACGTCGTAAAGGTCAATCTTGTTGGGCGCCCTCCAAGGAGTGGCTGCAGAGAGCAAGAAAATAAGTTCAAATAATCCTCTCACTGTCGGACATTTTCCACCAGATCAGATCAAAGTAATCATAATTTAATTCTCTCCATCAAGCCACTAGCACAGGAGGCTGATAAGACGTTCTGCAGCGGAGAACCAGATGGATTCATTTAGACTTTATCTTGCCATGAAGCAGAGGCCAGAGTGTCGACCCGATGGAGCCTACCTGGGTAGTACCGCGTCACGCCCGTGGCGCTGCCGAACACCTGCCAGCGCAGGGAGCTGTCCTCGCGCCGGTTTTCGATGAAGACTCGCTCCAGAGCCTGCGTCCAGTTGAGCTCATTCAGGATCACAGGCGCTACAGAAGAAAGAAGATTACAGATATACAATAAGCTCCAAAATAACAGAGTTTAGGCTTTAAAAAACACCTCAAAGTAATTTGAGATTTAAGTTGTTTACAGACTACAAGGCAAGCCTGGAACTATGAAGCATGTCTGCAAACAAAAATAAGAAAAAAAAAAAAAAAAAAAATATATATATATATATATATATTATATATATATATATTTTTTTATTTGGGAATAAAGCAGGCCGGTGAAAATAGCAAATATTAGACATGTTTTTTTCATTGACTTCGTTCAAGTGATTGAATTAAAACTTACAGGTACTTACATAATAAGGCTTTTAATATTTGAATCATTTTGTATTTTTATTACTATACTTTGTCTTACATTGTTATGTATTTTAATTGATTGGGTGTATCTTTTGTGTTGTGTCATTTAGGATGTTTTAATTAATTTGTTTTAATATGAAGCAGTTAGTAACATTTGTTTAAAATGTGCTATTATTATTATTATTATTATTATTATTATTATTATCAACTCATCACTTTGTTCTAAAAGAAAAAAATTGTAAATTAATAAAAATAAGTTGCATTAAAAAAGTTTGTTTCTGTATAATTGTAAACATGGAGAACAATTTATTTAATAAAAGTGGTGATAACACTTTTCATAAACTTTCTATTACATTTCTGTTGTGAAAAGTTATTTAAAATTTGACTGAAAACTTGACTTTTTTAATGTTATAACAGTATTAATCATTTGTTCAAACTATTACAAGCTCAGTTAGTTTTCTGATCTTAATAAATGTATTTTTACACCTTCCCATTTTTGCATTTTAGTTCTCTCCTTTTTTTAAATTTTGTGTTAAAATCTAGTTAAAAATCCCAAATAAAAAATACTAAAATATGCTACAAAGACACTGGTCAATAAAAACCAACAAAGCTCCAGGTTTATCTCTGTAAATAAGCCAAAGGTTGAGGTGAACAACCTTGTCTCTGCCAGCAGAAGTGGGTTGAGAGCATCAGCATGGATGCATGCAGGAACCTCAGGCCAGCAGCGCCGCCTGAGCGCCGCATTAGTCTAATCTGTGTGATCTCTGCGGCGCACGCAGAGGAGATCACCTTGAAGGAGGGTCATCCTGCACGTCGCTCACAGCAGGCGGAGGAATCTGCTGCAGGTCGGACAGCAAACTACTGCAACTTTTTCTGCAGGTCTGGTAAGAAATCTGTGGCTGTTTGTTTAAAGCAGTAAAGTTACTGCGTGTGCTCCTGCAATGGCAGCCATTTTATAGAGGGAACATAACATTTTTAACCTTTAAATATTATAATTATGAAACAGATAAATCATAATTGGACTTTCTGGTTTTGTTTAGTGTTTAAAAGCACTTTATATCAGCTGTGGTTGTTTTAAAGTGCTTTATAAATAAAGTTGGTATGGCATGGTGAAAAAATGACTTTTTCCATTTTCAACAAGAACACGACGGATGGCTGTGCACTGTAAAACATTTCAGCATTTAGCATTTAGTTGCGTCAAATAAATTGAGTGAGTTTTGGATTTTGAGCCTGAATGTGAGTTTGTGAAAGATGAACTTATAGTATAGTAAGTTGTGCTAACTTTTTATTATGAGTTGAGAAAACTAGAGTTTTTAGGTTAGTACTTAAAAAAACTGAAAGAAGAAAAAGACAGGAGTGGGAACTATTTCCCATAGTGCTTAGCGGCTTGTTTTTGCTTCCTGAGATGAAAGTGCGTTACATTGATCTGACTCCTGTTCACACAAAATGTTTCTAGCAGAATTCATTGGGATTTTTAATAAAATTCATCACCAGATCAGAAATCTTCTTTATTTAATATGAAACAAGAATTTTAATTATTCTAAAATAAAATAAGGATTTATCTTAGCTTGGTAATGTGAGTGAAAATAATAAAAAAATGTGGCTCTAACTAGTTGAGAGCAGTTATTTTCTTGCATATTGTGAAATAATAATTTGGTTTAAATTGCAGCATTAAGTTAAAACTCACAATTCAAGATTAAAGAACTTAAAAACAATGTTTAGAAAACTCGTCTCGTGTTGTTAAATCAACTTCATGAACTTTAATTTCTGAGTTAAAACCAAAACAATTTTCTCTTTTAACTTAAATTTCATTTTCAAGTTAAAGCCACCTTCAAATGTTTTACAATGTGCAGCTGCTTATTGCAAAACAGAAAAAGGATGGAGTGAGTCATTTTATTTCACAATGATTTAAAAATTTCTGTTTTCCATCAGTAGCAAATGGGACAAAACGAGAGGAAATGCTTTTCCAAACGGGTCCCAACGTGAAACATGTTGGGGGAAAACGAACTGCTGAGACGCTGATAAAGTTTTAGTGTTACAGACAATATCGTTGAATTATTATTCTGATTCCGTTACTGTGGTTCACTTAAATCCTTAGGAGTAAAACTACAGTTTTGTTCAACATTGTGGAGAATTACAGGCCGGCTTGGTTCAGCACATAGCGCTTTTAAATCTCTCCATAGGGTGCCTGTTTGCTATGTCTCCGAGGTGCTGCTCTCAGACAATATCACTTCTTCTCACTGGATAAATCAGCATAAAAATCTCAACCGTATGAGATTAAGCCTGAACTGGGGACTGGTTTAGTCTGGGATGGACTTTGGGTTAAGAGTTATAAAGTATCAAGCTACCTTCCATTTAAGTTTTAAAAAAAATAAGATTTTAGGCATCTGGAAACGCGTGTGCATGCAGAATAAAGCCTTCATCACCTGTTCAACAGTAAGTGGTGAATAACACAAGTACCGCATCAATATTCAACTCTCTGACTTCTACTTTGCACAGTCCTTATTTTCCTTCCACTTGTAGTCTCGGTTATTTTATTTTTTTTTTCTATTCTAATAAATCCCTTCAACGACACACGACATGGAAACACACAAACACATCCAGACACTGCAAATGCTTTCAGTCTGTGCTTAATCGCCAAGCCAAAGTCAGAAGACGGGAGTGCAATCAGAGGTTTAATAGCCACCTGATTAAAGAGGAAACAAGAAGAGGCGCTGAGCTGCGGAGAACTTCACTCGCTCCTCTGATTTAATTACTCAGCCAACCAAAGCTAGATAAGCCTCAGAACAGACAAGTCCAGCTTTTCTCAACCCTGCGTTTTAATTTTACACAAATAAACGATCATTATCCACTTTTCCCATGCTTCCAATTACTGCAGCGTTTCTGACGAGACTTTGGTCTGAAGGTAGCAAATGGGCAACGAGTATTTTCTCATTCTGCTTGTCCGCTGAAAGGTCACGTTGTAAAAATATAGTCAGGCACAAAATCACCCAATCGCTAATTTATTTGCTTATTTTTCCACCAGGAAGCCATGTTCAGACATGTAAAATTTACCAAATTGCAGCATCTAAAAAGAGCTTGGCATTATTACTGTCTATCAGAGTGCAAAAACAAACAACACAACAACAAACACACAGCCAAAACAGTATCTGGAGGACATGAGTGTGTGAAAGCCAAATTGCCGCCATCACCGAGGGGAGCTCCTAGATGTGTTTTTCTTCAAAATTTAAAGACAGGAGCACAAAGGAGGAGCGGAGGAGGTTAGAAACAGCTCTACAAGTGAGCAGAAACTTAAAGACCGATCTAGAGAGGGGGTAACGGATGACTGACGGAAAGAAACAAAAAAATCAACGTGAGTGAGTGGCTGCTCTACAGAAAGGAAAGGGGAAATTTCTAACCCATGTAATCAGAAGTCTAAAAATCAACCAACTGAACAAAATCTAATAAAACACCCCAAAAAATATTGATCAAATTCTAACATTTTCAAATATGTTTTGTAAAAGCTATTGACCGCAACACAATTGGTGATTTATGATGAAAACATATTTCCATAAGTTTTGCCTCTGTAGCTGTTTGATGATTCATGTCAAAAGGATTCATGCCAGTGATTCACTGCAAACTCCCAGAACGAGAAAGTGAAAGAGCTTCACCCCTCATAACTCAGTGTTTACATTCGCCAAGAGTCCAGATGGCGTGAAGAACCAAACGGTCGGAGCTACGGAGACACATTAGTGAAGCTTTTAGTGTCACCACATTTGCAGCATAAAATCTTCTGACTTGTGATGTCTGTGCTCTAAATATTTGTGAGGGAAATGATTGAACCAACATTTCCAGTTTGATCTAAACCTGAATAAATAACCACTAACAATAAACTATAACAGGGTGTCAAACTCATTATCGTTTTGGGCCAAATCAAGATCTCACAGGGCAGGTTCTGCCAGAATGTATTGATAAAACCTGTTCACAAATTTCTAAAAATATCAATGAATTATTAAAATTAAATAATATTATTGAACAACTTTTCAGTCCCTCTGGGATTTCATGATACTTTTTGTGATTTTTTGCAATAAAATCAAAGTGTTTTTGGTATTAATCTGGAAATATTTGAGATATTTGTGCTTATTTATGACAGTAACTGCAAGTTTTTATTACTCGCTGTAAAGATCATGGACTACAATCTGACATCAATTAAAGCTGATGCAGCTGCTTAGTACAAGTAATAAAGTTTTTGACAATTTTTGAGAAAAATCTGCAATAAACTCCCAATTATTAGCACAAAAAAACAGGGATTTGTTGATTTTGCATGAATTTCTACGTTACTTCTCAAGAACCTGGAGGAACTGATTGATATAATTTGGCAGTAAGCAGATAAAAAACTGCATTGATTAGATTGATAACATAATATTTAAGCAGAATTAGTGTTTAGACTCTAGAGGACCACATACAAAGCTGTAGCGGGCCAGATTTGGCCCACGGGCCTCAAGTTTGACACATGTGTACCATAACAATAAACTATATCCATCAATCAATCAGCTTCAACTGCTTATCCTTGCAGGGTTGAGGGAATAAATAATAATTTAACCCACTTTTATTATACTATAATAATGCTACAATTGTAGTAACCAGTCAGTAAAGAAATCATGAATTTCAAAAACAGTAAAAAACTCCAACTAAAACCCGACATA